TACAGCCCGTGGCCATCAAAAAATAAATAAAATCAAAATACAAATCCGGTCTGAATACCGTCCCGTAAACCCAACCAAATAAATCCTCCACAGTAAAATATCCCGACGCCACAGAGCCGACCACCCATCAAGGGGAAACATCGGGTGCGGCACCACACCAACCCGTAACAACCCGACCGGGTCCCCAGCCACCAGGGAGGAGTGCCACACTTGCAATGGGTGTGACCGCCAACCCCAGCCACAGCCAAGTTCCCAACCGGGCCGGCACATATCAGCCCCCACTAGGGGAGCCGAGAGCCAACCACCCCACACCACGCCAAAAAAAAAGCCGGAGGGGCGGGACAAATCTCAGGGTCAAAGCCATCCCCGCGGGGAGGAGACCCAAAAGACACCGTAAATGAAAGCGACTGGACTATTACCGCGAGAAACGCGCGGACGAAGGCGCGAGACGAGGACGACAAGCGACCGTGTATTCGAACCTTATCGATGTAAAACCGAGGAGCCGTAGCCCTCAGCCAACAGTGGAGAAAGGATGTCAGTGAAAGTAAACCTAAGCTATCCAGTCTCAAACCTGTGATCCCGTAGGAAACCAGGGACGCAACCCCCCCAAACCGACGAAATGAATGCGAAATCCGGTGGGGAAACGAAGACAGGAAAGCCGAAAGTGTTTTACCGAAACGAAGGCCCAACTGTAAAGCGATAATCGAAACCATCAGAGAGCCAGAGGTTATTCCCGTGGGAAGCCTCACAGCAAAGATGGCATCCACGCCGGCGGGTGAGAAGGAAAGGGTGTCCAAAGAAGATTACCAGATTGCGTAAAGAAGATAAAATATAAGGGGGTGCACCTCGTTATATAGATAGGAAATCCTCCGCGATCACTAATACAAAAGAAAACCCTTGGTGTCACGGGCAGCCGCGATCCTTCCCTAAAGTTCTGCCAGTTTCCGTCGCGTGGCAACCCATCCCAATCATAATACTAAGGAAATTCTACTAAGCAACCAAAGAAACCACAACCAATAAATGCAACCAAAAGCACAATGTTCCGTCCCCATACCAGGCCGGGTGGCCATGACAACGGCCGCCAGGAGTAGTAAGGATGTAAGTACGCCACGCAGGAGTAGTAGGGGCGTCGGGACGCTAGGGGGGAAAGGGCATGGATTGCCAGAACGCCCAGAACCGAGCTAGCAAGGGTCACAACGTAGGGGGGTTGACGTGCCAGACGTCCGGCGAGTGTCAGGATGCAGGAGGGTGCAGATGGGAATGTCAGGACGCAAGAACAGATTTAGCTGACGACCTGATTAACGGTTTGCATCCTGTACATCCTGTGCATCTGACGCACAGGACGCACAGGACGCAAGAGTAAACTTTTGCTGATGCTATAGCTCTACCAATATTGGCGCCGGGTAGACATCCTGGGTACCGTTGGAAAGCTGGCGTCGACAAGAATCAGGCCCCTGAGTCTGAGATGCTGGATCCACAGGACGCCCGAGGGATCTGGTGTCAAATTCAGCAATCTGCCAGAATTCCGCCAGGCAGTCGCTCTACCAATATTGCCGGCAGGTAGATGTCCAAGGCACAGTTGGAACGCTGGCATCGAGTAGAATCAGGCCGCTGAGTCTCAGGGGCTGGGTCCCCAGGACGCGCAAGGAATCTGGCGTCAAACTCAGCAATCAGCCAGAACTCTGCTACGGTAAACATGACGTGCAAAACAGGCTATAGCTCAACCAATATTGGTGCCGAGTAGATGTCCTTGTAACGGGGGCTCCCTCAGGTAGATGGTTCCTGAGAATGCGACCGCACCAAACTTCGAATCTCTCGAACACAACTCTTGTAAAGTGTAAAGAATAAAAGTAAACGGTAAAACTTAATATCGTTAAGCTCTGGCTTATCTCAATTAAAGTCTTTCGAGAGGATGTTGATTCTGTCGGGGCAGGAGAGTTCTCGTATAAGCTTCAAGTAGTCAGACTTATACCAAAAACTCCCCCATCAGGTCGCCCCGACCAACATGAGTATGCCCTTCTCCGTAAGGGTTGCCGGCACCATTACCGCATCCCCGAAGGGCCTAAGGTGTCAGCGCACTCTAGCAGAAATCTCCCATATGCACATAGGTTCCTGCCAGGTGTTTACCAATACACCTGCCGGAGTGAAAACCTCTGCGCATCGGTGTCTCGTCAGTGGCTAACTGTCGAGACTCCTAGGAAAGCTAACTAAATGACTCTCTTCCCATGTGCTATGAACTATGCAAGCACCCGTAGACATCAGGTGTTCTCCGGTTAAGTTCTATCTTTCTTGATTGCGAACTTACGGGGTCTACGACGCTCCCACGTAGAGCTGTGTCGGTGGCGGGACCCGTGGGCGCTACCCATGGTCCCTTACCTTCGGCACACCACTCAGCGTGATAAGTATCATGCTATTAGAGTCTTCCAACAACCCACAAAGAACCTACGGCAAAGGGGCACGTGTAGGCTTGATTGGCGTAAAACCTTCCCAGATGTCTCCGGCACTACCCGGGACTACTCTGGGGACCCTTCAGGATAGCTCACGCTAACTCCGTCAGTTTTGGTCCGTTTTACTCCGTTCCTTTTGGAGAAGGTACCTGACCTTCTCACCTTGGCCCCCTTATATATCCTGCGAACAGCTTCCGGTCGGACGGACGGCGACGACGCGTACAGTGTTATGGACATGTCTTCATACATTCCATTTAACTAGCATAACGGCAACTCCCCCCATTTTGGCCCATGACGCCCGGGGCGAACCCTGGGGCCGCAGGTACCTGTTAGGAATAATCCTGCCAAGTTACAGCATGTTCGGAGCACCCTAGCTCCTCCCGTAGTCTTCCGATCAATATACAAGCAAGTGCCCTTTGATCGTCATTGCGTAACAAACAATCCTAACATTACACGGAATCTTTCCGAGAACGTTTCCGATGGAAGGTAGGGTAATAGTGTCCCAAAGGTAGGGTAAGTATGTCCATGGTGACACGAAGCCGGTCTCCATGGCAGGGTAACGTGACTTACCTAGACAGGGTAAACTCACCCGGCCTTCCGACCTATCTTTAGGCCGGAACCGATGTGGTCACGTCATTTCCACTACTTAGGTACACCTATTTCTTAAGTACCTTCTGTTCTTCGGGATACCGGGACCATCGAGTATCTCCTGGACATGCTCAGACATGCCCTCCAAGTCTACCATATGACCTCTTGGCCTTATGTATGGGCGTAGACTTAGGTTGCCATAGCTCTATAACGTAGGGTCGTTACAGTCCTGGGTACCGTTGAAAGGCTGGCATCCGTTAGAATCAGCCCGCCGAGTCTCAGACACTGGGTGCACAGGGCGCCTGAGGAATCTGGCATCAAGGTCAGCAATCCACCAGAACTCCTGTAGGGTAGAGATGACTCTCATAACTGGCTATAGCTCTACCAATATTGACGTCAGATAGACATCCTAGGTACCATTAGAAAGCTGGGGTCGACTAGTATCACGCCACTGAGTCCCAGATGCTGGGTCTACAGGATGCCCCAGGAGTCTGGTGTCAACCTCAGCAATTAGCCAGAACTCCACTATGGTAAGGATGACTTTCATAACAGAGTGCAACTGCACCAATGTGGGCCCGGGATAGACGTTGAATATACCATTGAAAGGCTGGCATCGGGTTAAATCAGGCCATCAATTATTGGCTACTCTGCGTACACAATAGTCATGGAATCTGGTATCAAAGTCAGCACTCCACCAAAGGTCTGCTAGGGTAAAACCACTTCAATAACATGCTGTAACTCGGCCAATATTAGGGCTGAGTAGACGTTGAATACACCATTGGATAGCTGGCATCGAGTGGAACCGGGCGGCCGAGTATTGGCCACTGTGACTATTGAATGGCCATGGAGTCTGGCATCAAACTCAGTACACCGCCAAAGTAAATATAACTTACATAAGAGGCTGTGACACCCCCAATATTGGTGCCAGGTAGGCATTGAATACACCATTGGATAGTTGGCGCCAAGTGGAATCAGGGAGCACAGTATTGGCTGCTGCGACCAGAGAATGGCCGTGGAATCTGGCATCAAGGTTCGTACTCAACCAAAGTAAAAATGACTTCTATAAGAGGCTGTAACTCCCCAATATTGGTGCTGGGTGGACGTTAAATACACCGTTGGAAGGCTGGCGTCGTATAGTAGCGGAGCGCCGAGAATTGGCCGCCGCGCTCATAGAATGGCTGTAGAATCTGGTGTCAAATTTGTACTCTAGTACAGTACATATGACTTCTATAAGAGGATGTAACTCCCCCAATATTGGTGCTGGGTAGACATTGAATACAGTATTGGAAGGGTGGCCTCGTATCGAATCGGGGCGCGCAGAATTGGCCCCTGTGCTCATAGAATGGCTGTGGAATCTGGCGTCAAATCAGCACTCTACCAAAGGTCTGCCAGGGCTGTAACTCTGCCAATATTAGCAGCAGGTAGACGTTGAATACACAATTGGAAAGCTGCCATCAGGTAGAATCAGGGTACCGCATATTGGATACTGCGCCAAAAGGCTGCCTGAGGAATCTAGCATCAAAGCTACTACTGGAGTAGAACCTGGCTACCTGCCACAGCTAGCATTAGTGAAGAAAACAACAAAGTCCGGAATGCTGGGGAGGTAGTATACAGGGTACTGGTAAGGGGGACAGCTGATAGGAGGCAGGCTGGTAGGGAGGAGGGCTGGTAAAGCGGGAGCGGCTGGCAGCTGGGTTGATCACTCAGACTCTCAGGATGGTAACTAAGTGGCCTCGCTTACTTAGGATGCAATCTGGATGTCACACCTCCTAGGATATCTACTAGGATTCATGGGATGCAACCAGACTTGACGCCCAAGTACCAGATGCACAGAACCCACCAGATGCAGAATTCTACCTCCTTGTATCAGGACACACTGCCCATGTGTCTGACGGAGGATTTATTTTTGCTGATGTGCCTTCTTGGCAGTCCCTCTCTTGGGCACTACAGGGGCCCCGGACGATTGAGAATACTGCCACACCATTCCACGGCCAACTCTCTGATATAAGTTCCTAGTTCTCTGTGGAAGAGACCCCAGTCTAAGCCAATATAATGATTCTCTATAGAGGAGATGTCCAAGAAATCGCAGAGGTGAAAGTACATATAGGTCATATTGTTTGCGTTTAAGTATTTCTATGCAAGTTAGCTATATCAGAACCATCATCTTTACTAGTCTTGAGGAGTCACTTACATGGGGGCCTAACATGTGAATTGCCAAGTGAGACATAAAAAGATCTTTCCAGATTTTAATCGAACTGGTAATTTTACCTGCCCGACTTCAGCCTTTATAACAAGCAGGTCCCGGGGCCTCAGCAAGGGAGAGATGTCCTTGGGAAACGTCTTCAGATGGAGGAAATTCTAGGCAGTATTCCCAAATGTCCAGTGCGTCCATCCTTAGCTTCAGACAGAATGGACACCAGTTCCTAGAACTCTGCCCTGGATGGATGTCCATTCTGTGGTCTGTCCTAACCTCTGCCTAGGATGGCCGGCTGGGCCCTCTAGGTGTCTCACCTGCAAATTGATTTGCAGATAATGGCAGGATGGTACAGATGACAGCTGGGCCCTGCAGATGACAGCTGGGGCCTGCAGATGATGGCTGGACCCTACAGATGATGGCCGGGCCCTGCAAATGGTGGCTGGGCCCTGCAAATGATGGCCAGGCTCTGCAAATGATAGCCGGGCCCTGGTGAGGATGGCTGGAATATGCTGTTTGTATTAAGACCTGCAGGCCTGGGTGTTAACTTCTCAAACGGCAGTCTGCATCAAAGACAGACACTATACCCTGCTGTTCTGGCCCATGATGCCCGAGGCACCCAGGACTACAAGCATACCAGGGCTCAGTAGGTTGCACGGGATAATTGAGAACACCGATTCTAGGTTGTCAAACCCCTCATTGGGAAGTCATGAGGTTGGGTTTTGGTAACCAGGATCCTCATTTATTTCTACTAGCATCACTGCAGACATGGTGTCGGTTCTCTTCAACCACATTCTGGTATCCCGAACCGGATCGTCATCGGTCTTAGCATAATGAACTTCCAATATGAACTTTCCCTCCTCAGTTCGTGCTGCATTTTTCATCTGAACTATGGTATGGGGCACTTTTCAGTACTCTTTATAACCACATTTAAAGGAGAAGAATTTTTGATTGTAGATGATGGTGATTCTCAGACCCAGTGGTATTGAGAGCCTACTTGTTGCTAGATTGAACTCTTCTGAGACTGTGTTGATAGCCTTTTCATGAATCAGGCTTGGTATATGTTGGATGATAAGTGTGAAGGTTAACGAATTTAAGGAAATTTTCAGAAACCTGATACTACTTGGTAATTGACTTTAAAGTGCAGTCAAGAGGGAGTCCAACTTTTCGTCATCACCTACATCTAAGATCTCGCTGAATCTGATAAAATGATATTTAGGCATATGCATTCTTAACTCTAATCCTTCCTCACCCCCAGGAGAGCCAAAACTCTCACCAGCTAACTACCAGTTTTCAAATTTCTATACATATTCATCAATGGATACCGATTCAGGGTCTCTGGTAGATGGGGTTGGCTCAACAAGACTGGAAGCATCAACAGTAATATGGTTTTCCATATGGTGATAAGATGTAGTCTCAATCCCATGCCGATACAGAAAGTTATATGGGACAGGGGCTGGTCTAGGGATACAGCTCAGTGGTACGAAATACGCATTTGGCTGTGTGGGGGGGTATCCAGGTGCACTGTAGCGCCCAAGCCCACAATATCTCCTAGGTTTGTCCAGTCAGTATACCAGTTTCCTGAAAGTTACCTGTATGAATCACATTAGTTGAAAAATCTTGAATGCAATGTAACATATTATTTAATTGAACTGGAGATGGAGGTAAATAAAGCGTGGCTCAATAGGTAACTGAGAGTAAACCTCAATAGGAAATTCATTCACTTCCAAGAGTAAAAGCTTTGGTAGAAACACTGGCACTACCATGATGAGAATATACAAGTGCAGCCGATAGATATATCTGTTATGAGGATATTTTTAGCAGGGCTTCCTGGCTACGACCAACTAGTCATGCTCACCTGACAGGTATATTTGTCAGCCGCACTCGTGGTTGGAGTAGAAAGAATAGGGAGAGCAAAGGTTAGGAAAAACAAACTCCCATACCGATATCAATGGTTGTGGTCCAAACTGTAGTGTCCGAGCTTTTGGGGTGGATGCATAGTTTAGTTGTGGGAGTTGTGTGGACAAGGAAGCTTTAAGTACTAGTGGCAGGTTATTTTTTTTTGCCACACAAGCAGTGTTGATTATGTCAGCAAATAGAATAGTCAAAGACCTTTTTTACCAAGATAATGCACCTATGGTAAGTCATGTATATATGCCATATTTACTTACTAAATCCACCATCAAGTGATCGAGTATGGGTTTTTATTTATTTATTGAAACCATCATTGTTGGAAATTGTTAGGAATCACTGTTGTACTCTTGCAGCATTCTCAAGTGAGGATCTATGACTGCTTACACAACTTGGTCTTTGCCCTTGCCCCGTGAATAGTGGTCTAATATACTCCCGCAAGTGGAAGTTGGACACCTAAGATAGCAACTCCCATAGAAATTGTTGCACTTCAACTCGGCCGCAGGAGTACTGTACACACCCAGCAGTTTTCAGCTAATCTTGGTTAGTGCCTACAGTACCCAATTAGGTAAGTGCCACAGCAATTTAACATACTCACCCAGTGGCTTGTCTTCTGTCTACCATTAGTTGAAGGTTAATGTGGCCTAATAGATTCATTGATAAATGGTCAATTTGGAGTGATTCCGGGATTGCTCTGTACGAGAGGGCAGGCTTTGGGTCGTATGGAAAAATGGGCACCCAGTTACCTGCCCATTGTGCCAGGACCATCATGTGGGTTTAGCTTTCGTGGAGCTTATAGGTGTATTGGCTCTGGGCCGATGTATTGTGGGTTCCAGGGGAGTGGATTCACATTATTGGGTTTGTCAGTAAGCTGCGGGGGCAGGGTTGAGTGATTACAGACTATCACCTAGTATTAAATAAACTAATCAAGTATTACTACACGATGCGCAATAACCTCACTCACACCCAGACTGAAACCAGAGTCTTAGTATACCCCGTTATGAGAGTGTAAATCCCTGTGAATGAAGGTAAAAGTTGAGGGTACGCCCCCCCGCCATAGATAACCCTCCCACCTCTCTGCCTTAAATCCCTTCAATATTTCCAAAACACAACCTCCTATATTCCTATAACTCCCGCATCATCTCTACTCCCATGGTCTAAAATGCCCTATACAATATTAGCTTTTGTCGTGTAGAAGGGCTCCCACTGGTCGGATCATACCTTTAGGTCTTGCCGAGACTCCCTGTGTTGTTGCGGGAGCAGTGGAACCTTGGTTCTTTGAGGGGAATCACCCTTATGACATGCCACACATGATGCCCTAGGTGGTTGATCGCCGTCGGTTTGTCCTGAGGGAGCTACACCTTCGCTATTTCCTAAACACAACTCCCCACACCTGCCATCGCTCCCGCATTATCTCTGCTCCCACGGTCTAAAATGCCCTAAGCCATATTAGCTTTTGTCAGGTGGAGGGGCTCCCACGGACGAAAACATACGTTGAGGCTTTGCCGAAGATCCCCGTGGTGTTTTAGGAGTAGTGGAAACCTGGCAGCCTGACGGGGTATCACCTTGGGGACCAGTCACACACAGCTCCCGAGGTGGGTAATTGCCGTTCCTTTGTCCTGAGGAAGCTGCATCTAGTATGGGTAGAGAATGAACCCATTCACGAAAGAGGGCACAATTTTGCTTCTCCTGCGATGCTTTCTTCGTGCTAATAATTTCCAGGCTCTTGCCATTCTCCAGGTCGCATATCTTCGGAATGTGAACTGTGGATATCCCGTTTCCATCCAAGTCTAGAGTTGGTCTTCTGCAGGCCGCTTGATTTCATCGGGGATCTGATTGTATCTGCGATCCTGCCCTCCCAGATTATACTTTTCGTAGTGGCCCCTCGCATTTGCCTATATCCAGCCCCTCCGTGAAGGGGGTGGTTAGTCATATGTAACTATTCTCTGTATTTACGGGTCTTGCACTATCTTTCGTATTGGCTATCGCAATGTATTGGTTTGGTTTTGGCAAATTTGTCGAGGGTTGAATAGATCTCGGCTAGCAATCTATATTTTAAAATCACGGTACTCCTTCACCTACTGCCCAAGGGCTAAATCAATCACAGTGCTGTCGGATCTTTTCCGAAACTGGTGTTCTTTCATGGGTATTGACAAGGAAATTTCATAGGATCAAAACCCTGGTTGGAAAACAAGAGAAAGATGAAAGGAAAGCTGCACTCAAGGAACAATGGGTTCTTGATAATTCCAGTCTTCGTCCTCTCCACCCTTGTGTTGTCTCTCATAACATTCTTGATACAATAAATCTACTGCTTAACAAAGAGGTCTTATACTTACAGGAACAACACAACTTTACGCAGTTTCATCACCTAATACTCGAGTGCCCACTGTCCACTCAGGAATCCAACATTACGGTAGTGTATCCCATTGTACCATTTACTTGGACATTAGGTTGTGACGCCCGTGTCACCCAGCCCCTTACCAAGCATTCTGAGCATTCTTGTATTTCTTCCTGCTTAGCAGCAAGAAACAAATATTTTTCTTCTTCCAGATAATCCAGGGAGTGGGATACTGTCAATCTTCAGCAGCAGCAACTGTTGAAATAGCAACCTGTACAACTGCTACTTGTAGTATAGATATGGGTCTGAGTTTTCATGACGCTAGAAAAACTCTGCATGCTAGACTAAAGTATAAAGAGGTGCTCTGTCCTCTTTCTGAATAGACAATAACGATTCTTCTTTCAATTCCAAAGCTGTTGCTACAGGTTATGAGCCTGGTACTCTGCCCCTACAGAAACCGATCAGAACTTGAAGCCTTTAGACATACCTCCAATATTTCGAGGACGAATACAACAAGACACGACCCATCCTTCGTCAATCATTTAATAATACCCAATGTCCTCAATGGGTCTTACCAGTGAAAGTACCATTGGAAGGCCTTCAATGACTACCTATAGATGCGAGTATGGAGAGATTGCCAAACTCCACTATGGCAACTACAATCAGTGGTCAAGTAACATACAAGTCTTTCTTCGTGCTATGAATACACTTGATATTGTATTAGGCATTGAGCAGGCTCCTCCACCAAATCAGAGAACCTCATATAATGAGTTTTGCCTTCGCTCTGGAAAAGGATTTGCGATGATCTACCACTCATACCGTCCGGATATTCGCGAGTTTATCAATGATGAGATGGAACCCGCCGAAGCCTAGACAAGCCTAAAGGCCAATCTTGACAATACAGTATCACATGTTCGACGAACACTTGTTCTTCAAAAATTCAATCAATTGAGACCGAAGCATGGAGAACAGATTCAGTCCTATATTTCACAACTCCTAGCTATTCGTCGTACATTAGCGGGGACAGACCATGCGATAAGTCAGGAGGCATTCACATCCCATCTTATCAGTACCTTGCCTGCCGAATTTAACAGCTTTGTCAATATTGTATTACACCAGCCTGGTGGTATTACAATTGATGGTCTTATTACAATGATCCGTGAAGCTGAAGTGACAATGCAAAACCGAGATAGTGGCTACTCCAGCTCCAATATGATTAGCACAACTACCTCTGCCCTCGCAGCAGAAGTTCGTTAAGGAAATGTTCACCACAACCAATGGGGATACCATAGTTGAACTGGTAATTCTTTCCGTAACCGGGCTGGTATTTCCCGTCGAGGTTTTCATTCCTCTGGGCTGCATACCTCCCGGAGACCAACCTGCTGGTATTGTGGATTACCAGGGCATGTGGAACGTCAGTGTCTTGTCAAAGACTGAGCTATGGAGGCAAGGAGAAAGGATGACAGAAATGGAAGAGGAGGTCTGAGACGCAGGTGCCAATCAGGACCTGAGCTTGTTACCAATGTTCAAGCATCACTAGCAGATGTCCAAGCCCTGGTAGTTTCTCATACTCCTAGTACTACATCTAAAGGTACAAGTCTCTGGATTGTTGACTCCGGAGCAAGACACCATCTTGTGAATGAAGTCAGTGTTGTTCATTATTATGTATCCTTTCAACAACCCATACAAATTAGGCTGGCTAATCAAACCACTGTTTCTGGCCTTGAAGAAGATAGTATTTGTCTGAAACTCATGGGACCAGGAGGTACCAGATGGGATATTAGACTTGCCGTACTTTTGGTGCCGCAGCTTAGATTCTCTCTTCTCTCGGTTGCGGAACTTTCTTCTTAGTTCCGCATAAGCTTTGCAGATAACTGTTGGTATCTGGCAGAGTCAGGAGGCAGGCAAAGTTTTCATCTTGCTTCCTTGATTGATGGTTTATATCAAGTAAATCTGATACATATCTTATCTGTACCGCAGCCACAACGGGTCATAGTACATGCTGCTAGCACTATAAGGCCCTTACTTACAACTTGGCATGAAAGGCTCGGGCACCTTAACTTCAAATATGTGACACAGCTGATTGGTACTGGAGAGATACCAGATACTATATGTACAGTGTGTATTCAAGGGAAACAGCAACAAAAGATTGTTAGAACTCCAGTTATCAACCGAACAACACAGCCCTTGGAACTTATTCACTCAGACCTATGCGGTCCAATTCCAGTTCCATCTTGCTCTGGCTCGCGATACTCCATCCTCTATATTGATGATTTCTCCCGCCATGTTTGGGTTTATTATCTAAAAACAAAAGATGCTATTGAAGTAACCTCTCGGTTCCAAGAATTCAAACTCAGAGTAGAGAAGATGTTTCCACAGTTTCCACTTTGCCGCTTTCGATGTGATAATAGCAAGGGTGAGTATGCCAACCGATTCTTTCGTGGTAGCTTACGCGCTTCTGGTATGACCTTTGACCCTTCACCACCATATAGCCAGCATAAGAACGGAGTGAGTGAGAGAATGATTCGTACCATTGTTACAAAGGCAGGAACAATGGTGTTAGACTCACGTCTTCCAGAAGAGATGTGGGCGGAAGCAGTTGCTACCTCAGTCTATCTTCATGCCCGTAGTCCAACACGGACGCTCCATGGTCGAACGCCTTATGAAGTACTTCATAAGCGTATTGCTTCTATAGATCATCTGTGCCGCTTTAGATGTTGTGTGAATAAGCTGATTCCAATACCGCAAAGAACAAGTGGGAAGTTTGGCTCACAATCTAGGCAATGCATAATGGTTGGGTATGTACATGATAGTACTACTATTTGGCGGCTATGG